TCTGTAAAAATATAATACTGAACTAAGCAAAGCACTCATTCAGTTCTATTTCTGCCTGCATTTTGTTACTGAGAATCTTAGTTCCAAAATGGAAGTACGTGTGACGTTGTTTGGATGACATAAGTTACTGAATGGCCTTACTCATCTTGGAAACAATAGAAACTTCCAATATCAGACAGTTTCAGATTGGAGTGAATTCTTTTTCTCATTTGTAAAACCCCATGTCATAAAGTGGGTGTCTAGGATGTGATGTTTCTGCTCAGTTCCAACCAAATGAGGGTTGGGAAAATTCCTTCTTGGGTACGTTTGCCAGTTTCTTAGGTTAAATAACTGGTCTATTGCTAGTTTTTATGAGTATCCCAGGGGGAAAATGGTAGAGGAGAAATTGAGTGTACCTACTTCTTCCTCTTCCCAGCATGAAAATCCAACTGCATCTCTTGCTATGTGTCCAGAGAAGGAAAGCAACACCTTTTAGAGAGCTGTGCTGAACTGATGAACATAGGAAGCAGAGAACTGAGACAAGATGGGTGCCCGGATGCTTCTGACCATCTTTATGTCTTCTGCCTCAAAACATCAGAGTGTTTCATGCATAGGGAAGACCAGATGGACAGGTAGAAAGCAGTCTGGCAGCTTCCCTTTGTAGTATTATACTTTCTATGAGGAGTGCTGCTTAAAACAGTAATAAATGCAGAACTGAAATACCAAAGTGAAATTTAAATGGATATGTGGATATTTTAAATGTTAATTAGTTCCTCAATCCAGGTTTCTCACCAGGCAATGACTACCACTGACTCAACTCTATCTTAGCCACCTAGAGCCTGTACAGGCTGCTCCCCACATACTTCACCAAATCCTACTTTTGTCCCTGTCTTCTTTTCTCCAAATAACTGCATGACATAGTCCATGCCAGACATCCTTCCATTTCTATAAACTCTTGCATGCATATAACATAACCTTGATGAACCATATATGAGCCATAGGGTCTAACATTTGTCATGTTCATTAGAGGTTTTCTGAATGAAATATGGTGACCTAGAGTTATGTCCACAAAAGAATCCTGGATGATGAGAACAAACTTGTGTTCTAAGAAGTACTCTTCAGATATTTAGCTTGTAGAAAAGAAGGCCAAATGTGTATGTTTGTACAGAGAAGTAGATAGTTGAATAGCTCTTATGTAACTGGAAAAAAAAAAAAAAAAAAAAAAAAAAACCCCAAGAAGGTAAT